CCAAAATAAAAGAAAGTAACTTTCTTAAAAATCTAAAGTAAAAGGGTTTTGTCGTTTGAAATTGAACTCTCTTACTAAAAATAGATTAAATATATAAATTATGATATTGAAGAGCTTATTCACTGTTATCAAGGTCTCTTTGGAGTTTAGCTAAAATTTGATGAAATTGATCAAACTTGGTTATTTAAAAAAGTAGGAGTGATTATTAGAGCACTTAGTAATAAAGACAGCATTTCCTAGGAAAGAAACATTGGCTTATGTATGAAGTGAACAAATTAATCCAGAATTAAATCTTCGATTCACTTTCTAAGTTATTGTATAAGTTGTTCAATTCCAAGAGACCAATAACTTTTATATCGAAACATTCCATTGTCTCTACTATTTTACTTGTATTCAGACAACCTAGATCCCGCTCGACACTCTCCCTACGATCGTCAGCTTGGGATTCTTCCTGAAGCCAATACCACGAGCACCTCGTCCTTTGGATTTATCGCCCCTCCTGCCTCTCCACTATACCTTACCTTGGCCCTAATCGCTTGTACCGCCTGTACGCTTTTGGGTATTATCATTGGAGTCGGTGTGTTGTCCTGTTGGCTGCAAGGCCAATCAGTCTGGCTGAGTCGCCTATTTGCCAGGGTTTCACTGCAAAATCGAAGTAAGGAAGGACTCTCGAACCGGAATATTCTCAGAAGATTTAACCAAGTCCGACATTCGTACTCCGAAATTAGTCAATTCGGTCGAGAGTTGTCAAGCTCTGCTATCCACACAACCGCAATGACTGGAATGACACAATTGTGGTTAACTCCTTATACTGATCAATCTGTCTGGCCTCAAATTGCTCAAACTCCTTGCTGTAACCAAGACTCCAATTCTGCACTCTCTATTTCATCACCCCCATCGTGCTTATCCCTTAATAAAACCGCATCACTACCAAAATATCTGGCCGGCCAGGAAGCACAAAATTTACTTAATTATTCTCTATTCGAATCCGCCTCTTCCTCAATCCCGGCTACATTTATCTTCAATACAAATCAGCCTGCCCTAACAAGAAGAGTCTCTTCATCATCATGCAATCTAGCTGACTCTAATGACGAATTCTTTGACGGTGCAATGGATTTATACCTTTCTGACCACCACTCTTCTAGCAAGTGGTCAGATTGCTTAAAACAGGCTCCATTAAATTCTCCCAGCTGCCGAACCCGAACAACATCTCTCCGGCCCACTATGAATAGTAAATTCACCTACCCAGCAATGATTCATCAAAAGCATTTGGAATGCTCAGATGGCCACCGACAAAACAAGATTGAACATATTCAAAATATGGCTCATCATGATTCATTTGCTGAAAGTTTTGTTTCTGATTCCATCAAACAGAAAACCCAGGATGGCAAGTTGTGCGAAGATAAGTTGCTTTACAGCGAGGATGCCAACTACGATCTCCACTCATCCTTTCCTACCAAGGATCATGTAGGTCCCGACATACCCCTCAACAATTCTATGATTCCAGTCCTTGCCTATATCACTTGTCAGAGCCGCCAATGTAAAAATCAAACAATAAAACAGGAAGGAGATGAGGTGGTAGCAGGAATGGATCAAATCGACAAGGCCCGGAATAAGACCAGTGGAAATTTCGTCAACGTAAATCGAAGCAGTGAAAGCTATATGAACAG